TGAGTCTTGTCGAATATTGACTCCCCTACTTTGATTTATCCTGCCGATCTGATGTTTGATTTGTACTAATCATATTGTTCGATTACTGTACAAATAGAAGCGACATAATTGAAAAATTAGGATTTTTTATGCACTATATATAAACTCTTGTTATGACTTTAGAATGGTCTGTAGGCAGTCAAGAGTTATGGTTCTTCTGTAAAATAGCTTGAAGAGAGAGCATTGAACAAAGGAGAGAGAGGGTGAGATTATGTGAGAGGGAGAAGAGCCTTGTGAGATTCAAGAGAGTGTGAGAGGGGCTTTCATAAGGTTGATCCGGCTGACCTGCACCTGAGGTCCTCTCGTTTTATTTTTGTATGTGTCTCTTGAAAGGAGCTATGTGAAGGAAAGGCTTTGGTGTCAAGGACTGTCGGCGACTCCGTATGATTGAGGAAGTGAAAGGAGGACACGGCAACTTCACCAGACCGAGGAGGTGAAAGGAGGATTTAGGGATGTGGGTCTCCGAAAGGATTCCGCTCGTGTAGTTCGAATGCAAAGGGTACGATCACACTATCCCGTAGGACAAAATGGTCGTAGGCCTTTACACTCGGCACAAGCAGGCCGATGGAAGAGCAGATGGAGTTATAGATACGATTAACCATTGAGGATAGAGGCTTTCACCTACCAACCTCGATGGATAATAATATCTATAACCCAAAAAAACAATTGTTGTGATTGATAATTATTCGTATTTGCTTTAAGAGAAAAAAAAAATAAAAAATATATTGTTATTATTTTTTTACAAAATTTAAAAACACAAAAATTAGTACTTGCTTGAGTTGTTCTATTTTGTTTATTCAAACACTTCCGCATAAAATCAAGTTTTGAAGAAATTTTTTAAATCACAAATTCATCATGTTCTTGGTGTGTCAACTTTACAATTAGATCACAACTGTGCACTTAGACTAATGACCTCACGATTTTGTTCCGTCAGTGTTTCTTTTAAAGCAAGAGGATTGCTCCCACATAAGCACGTTTAATTTTGGAGTTTCTAAAATAAATTCAAATCATTATACCGAAAGAAGTCTTGATATTTAAGAGTTTAACTTTTTTATAATTAAGAGTTTCACACCACTAATCCTCCTCATCATCAACGTCCATGATAAAAACAAAAATAACTCTTACTTATGATACCGTCAACAAAAATAACATCAAGTCTTTATTCCGATCCACTACGTGGCGTTGACTACATCAGTCATTTTTCTTCATTGAATCTTATTAAGAATCAAAATCTCATTTAAATCTAAGTAAAAAAATATCATTTTTAATACTTTCTAATCAAGTCTTTTTAGGTCTATCTCTACCTATCTTAACATAAGCCCGATCAATACATCTACTCGCTTAACCGGGTCATTTGCAGACTCTAAATATTATATATTTCCTTAAACTCTCTCCATTATAACACTAAGAGTTAGAAGTCTCTGCTCTTACTTACAACTTGGACAAAAATAATTCAAAAGAAATTCTATCATTAACACAAAGGCATCTGGTGCCAAAATAATTGGAAGCTGAGTAAATTATTGAGAACAAAAAAAAAATTTTTTTGATTCATATTTATTGGAGGGTGAATGGGATTAAGAATCAATTCTTTGTAATTAAAACGTTAAAGATAGACCGTACCTTAATTATTACGAGATCTTCAAGGAATAATCATATTTCTTATATGCTTAAGATGATCATACGAAGATGGGACATTTCCTATAAATTATAACAAACAAAGCCAAAAATAAAAATAAGGATAAATAGAAGAAGAAAAACTAGATTAAAATTATCTAAAAAATAAGATAATTTTAATTAGAAAAAAATTTTCTTCCAGATATGAACATATATGAATTATAATTTTTAGGTTTGGATGGGCACTGGCCCAAAAATTATCAAATTTGTTTTGAGATTTGTGCAATACAAATTCCTTGTTTACGAAACACTAATCTAAAAGTAAATACAATGATTTCAAGATCCATCATAAATAAAATTATACCCAAAGTATTAATATTACACAACAAATCATAAGGAAAATATCCTCAAAATTAATAGATTATGTAAGTTTAAAATAATATTAGCAAGATAATTAGTCACTTGATTAGCTCCTCTAATAACATGGCAAATTTGAAAATTCAGCTTGAGAAACATAAATTATATTTTCTTGATAAAAAAAAAAACATCCTAGGAAGACCTTCTCTTAAGAGTATATACTTCAATGATTATATTTTTATTATTATACTTTAAATGATCAGACAATAATAGAGACCCATTAGCTTAGAATTATTATTTTTATATTAATCAAATATTTATATAAAAAAAATGCACTGCACCATGAGCCCCCTAGTGATTTCCAATATGATCACCACAAGCTAATTCACTAGTAAATGAATCCCTTAACAAAATATTGAATAGTGGAAATCCACTCAATGATGAAAGAATTTTTGTATTTGGGATCCAACAAATGAAAGGATAAAAAAGAAATTATGTGTTGAACCTTTTTACAAGTTGATTAGATGAATAAAACATGTGAAGAATGTAAAGAGAGCAGAATAGAAATAGACAAACATTTTAGTGATTTTATTATATAGACCACCTAAGGGAGGTTGTGATCAGGATTACTTTAATAATAAAGAAAATAAGTACAAGAATGTCTCTGGTCTTAATATCTCTCGACTCTTACTAGATATGAATAATATAGGAATAGTTCCCAAGGTGGTTCCAATTTTTATCCATGTCGTATATACGATATTTGTGGCGTGTCATCTTAAAAAGATTTGATCATTTACTTCTATGTCTTCCTTTCTCTATTTTAATTAAACGATCTTCGTGAGTCGTAGTATCTTTTTTTTTTTAAGCTCTTCTTGATAATATACTAGAAATGTGAATTGGTGAAGGTAGATATGTAGTTCATGCTTAGGAATAATTACTTTTGGTTTTGAAGCTTACATCTCAATTGGATAAGCTTGCATTTGAACTCACCTTTGATTAAGAATACTTTAGAGAAAGAGATTAAAGGCTTTGATTATTTAAATTGTGTTGTACATTATTTGGTATGAACACTACTAAATGATGATAAAAGTGTGATTAAAGTTATTAGTAGTCATAATTCTTTTATTTTAATCACATTTTTTTAATACAAATTTGCCAAAAATATCTGTGCTAAAAGATAGATATTTCATCATATTTTTTATTAAAAAATTAATTATTAAAATCTTCAAATATCTCACAAGCTAGCACTTTTCTCATTTCAAAGCATGCTATAAAGTAATGATGTCTTAACATGTTTTTAGCCATAATTTTAAGGAAAATTTGTGATTATAAATTAATATTTTGTCACATTTTTTGAAGAAAAAACACGTGAGTAGCCTAAAGTTTCAATAGTGGAAATAAAATAATTGTTATTAGCAAAGTGCTCCACAAATATTATATATATAAAAGAAACCCTAAATCGCCAGAGCGGCTAGGGCGAGCGAAGAGAGAGAGCGTTCGATGGTCCACAAATATTATATTGTTTATGATTATAAAGTAATAGGAGAGATGCATGCATGTATAGAATTATACATAATGTTTTTCATTTCCTCTTTCAAAAATTAAAATTATAGTATATTAGATTTAAAAACTATTAAATACAATTTAATTTTGTTTAATAAAATAAGTATTGGAAAATAAAATTCTAAAAATTAGCCGAATTCACATATTAAAGGATGACTGACTCTATCATGTTGATAATAGTTCTCTCCCACTGTCTTGAATTGTCTTTATTTTTTTTTTTTTTTTATGAAAATGTGATTTTAAATGGCTAGGTAATGTAATTTGTTAGTTAATTGATCAATTTAAGAAAATAAATATTTTAATGCTTGCATTGGTTTTGCAAATTAAGTTCTCTTTATTCTTTGAACAAATATGGAGTGATTAGCATTCTCTTGTAGCACATTTGCATTCAATTATTTTATGGTAGTCAACAATGTTATAGAAATAGCACAAATAAGTGTTTGTATAGGCAATATGTGGCCATAATTGTTGCATTGAGCTGCTTTTCGAGCATATATCAAAAAGAAAAACTACATGATGCTATTAATTTTAGGAGACAAATATTACTAATACACGATTATCTAAAAATTTTATAAAAATAAAATAAAATAAAATAAAATCAGTTTCATGTTACTACCTAAGAAATCGCCAAAGGTGCTATATTGCTCCATGAGATAATTTTAGGACATATCAGTATAAGATTTTGTATGAGACAACTTTCTTAATAATTCTTAAAAATGATTTTTAGGCTTTATTTGAGATGACTTTCTTGCTGCTTCTTAAAACAATTTTTTAGTTAAAAAAAATTAATATTTATATTAGAACATTGCTTTTAAAAAGTAGTGAGAAAGTTGTCTCAAACAAAATCTTAGTACAAAAATTTTTAGTTCTAAAAAACTATAACGTTTATGAAACAAATTTATCTAGATGATTTAATAGATCTTTAGATTTCTAAACACATAAATAAATTTAATAAAAAAGCTTACCAAACATAAACTTTTACTTTCATAACAAAAAATATACACTATAATGAACATACTAACATTAAACAAGATTAATAAATACAATAAATCAAAATACATGCTACAAATATTAAAAAAAAAAACTCGAAAAAGAATATTGTGTCTGCCAGATTAAATGAAAATATGAAGTAAAAATTACAATCCAGTCAAATTTAAATTATTTTATCATTTTTATCATTAATTTATATTTTTCTAATATTTGTTCAACATTTTTGCCTCTTAAAAAAGTATGAATTTTTTTTTTCCATATAATCAATGACACTTTGAGGTTCCTAAGAAGCCAAGTCATTTCCTTATCATTGTAAATATAAAAAAATAAATAGTACATTGGAATCAAATATATCAGGGACACCTATTATCCCTACACGGATCCAACTAAAAAAGTCCCCACTCCCCACCATCTTTTTAACTTGTAGCTTGCTTGCAGCCCTTAGCCGTCCATTCATCCCTCCTCACATCTATAAATTCATGGCTCTAACTCTTCTTCTCTACCATCTCTCCTCCTCCTTCCTCCTCCTGTTCAGACTTCCAAAAGCTTAGAACTCTCATGATGATCAACTCGAAGAACTCCAAAACCAAAATGGTTAGTTCAGTTTGCTAAAGCTGATGTGATCAATCAATCCCTCTACTTCCAATATGCTAAGTTCGAAGTAGAATCTCCATAACTGGACTGCATGATTTCTTCTTTCTTCCTCACTTGCCTTCCTTCTTAATGTTTATATGCTCTTCTTACAGATATATTTTCTATCATTTATTATAATTAGTTGACGATAAATATACCAAACAAATGAATCTCTGTTCTATGTTTAGCATAATCAAAGCATTGTGGCTTACAAGTAGCTGTGTATAATGATGAAGGAACAGTTAGAGCAAGGAAGGAGAGGAAGAGAAGGAGAGGTGGAGCTTGGAAGAGACTTCAAAGAGAAACTCGCTGAATATACCACAGATGGTTCTGTGGACATCAGTGGACAAGTGGCCGCTAAAGCAAGCACAGGAGGATGGGTGGCTGCGGGTCTAGTGCTAGGTAATTCTAACAATTTTCTACCATTCATTTAAGAAAATATATTATTTTTCTTAAATTCCATTTCGTATGTTTTTTCTATGTTATATTTTTCATAATAATAAAACATATTCTCAAATATCTCCTTTTCAAATGTCTATTTTCTCCATGATTTTGATTCCATATAAGAATAGGAGGATTTTATTTCATGCAATATAACAAAAGCCCCTACTTGATCATCATTAACTATATTAGATGAAGCCTTTGAGCTCTTTATATATTTATTTTTTAAAAAGAAATTAATTTAAAAAAAAAATTCTTGACAAAGATGATTCTGTATAGAATAGCTGTAATATTTTATAAAGTTTGTTATGAAGTTATTGTTAGAAAAATAATTCAGTTATTCTAATTGCAAAAAAAAAAAAGTTTTTCATTATATAAATTTTTGAGAAGTAATAAAAGAAATAGTAGACAAATGAAATTGTGTTTGCTACTTAAAAAGCAAAGCAATGAAAAAGCTATTCCAAACACTAAATGATTATGAAGCAATGAATAGTATGCATAGAATTATGAGCATGAATTGTTACAATTATATCTGCATATATAATGATTGGGTGTGTTTCTTTTCCCACACGTTAAAGTTTGTGAGGAAGCAAATATGAGAAGGAAGGGTGGGTCCTTTAATTGATGATTATTATAACTTATATAAGTTTAAACTTTATAAATATAAGAATAATATGTGCATTTATTGTTTGTGGAAATTAAATTAGGCTGCGTCCGTTTGGGTAATCTGGTTTGGAATTAAAGGCAGAAGCAAAAAAAAGGGAGGATTACGTGTGATAAGAGGAAATGGAAAGCAGCTCTTGTTGGTGATTAGTGACATTTTATAGCTTTGCTAAAAGTGATTATTGTGTACTTATATTTGTTATTATTTATTTATTTGTTAGCATTAAAAAATAATTTAATTTTCATAGTAAGTGATGCAAGAAGAAAAAATATATAAAATTGTTAAATTATTGTCCATAAACTTTCATATTTTCATAAATTATGTTTAATTTGTTAAAAAGATGCATGAATTTGCATTTATAGCGTAAGGGGAAGAACTTTTAATTGAAATGGATTTATATTTTAATACATATTTAATACTAATATGATATTAATACATAGCAATAAGATTAAATTACAAAGTCGGTCAGTGAAAAAAAAAGCTCACTATATAATAGATATTTCAATGAATTTCAAAGTCATTAATTTTTTTTTTTTGGAGATAAGTGCAATATAAACTTTAATGAACAAATTCATTGACTTTGCCGCACATCTAACCAAACTTTTATTAGAATGTCCTGATATAAAACTTAGGACCTATTTAGGACGGTTGTAATGTTTTATAAAATTGATTATGAAATTGCTGATGAGAAAATAATTACGCTATTATAATTACATAAAACAACTTTACAACACATAAGTTTTTGAAAAATAATGAGAAAGTAGCAAAAAAATAGTAGCCTAATGAAATTATGATTGCTATATGAAAAACAAGATAGCTATAAAACTATCCCAAATAGATCCTTAGTCATCCAAATGAGAGAGGAATCATCCTATTACAAGTTTAAAATTTTGGATTCTATAGTATTATATGCTCACCCTATTTAATATATATTATGCAGTGAATCAAGGATTAGCCACGCTTGCCTTCTTTGGCGTTGGTGTGAACTTGGTATTATTCTTGACAAGAGTGGTAGGCCAAAACAATGCAGATGCAGCTAACAATGTAAGCAAGTGGACTGGAACTGTTTACATATTCTCCCTTGTTGGTGCTTTCCTCAGCGACTCTTATTGGGGAAGATATAAGACCTGTGTGGTCTTTCAACTCATATTTGTCATTGTGAGCTCGTCATACACTAAACACTCATATAAGCTTGTTATCACTTCTTATAACTAATTTATTTTTGTAATTATCTCAGGGCTTGATAACACTATCCCTAAGCTCACAAATGTTCATGCTTAGGCCCTCAGGGTGTGGAAATGCTAAGGAGCCTTGTGGGGCACACTCAAGTTTGGAGATGGGATTATTCTACCTCTCCATATACTTAGTGGCCCTAGGAAATGGAGGTTACCAGCCTAATATTGCAACATTTGGGTCTGACCAATTTGAGGAGGGTGACCCTAGAGAAGCTCATTCTAAAGTTTCCTTCTTTAGTTATTTCTACTTGGCCCTCAACTTAGGATCACTCTTCTCCAATACATTCTTGAGCTACTATCAAGATGAAGGGTTGTGGGCATTGGGGTTTTGGGCCTCAAGTGGGTCGGCCTTATTGGCCCTAATCCTATTCCTTTGTGGTACTCGACATTATCGGCATTTTAGGCCCGGAGGCAACCCTCTGTCGAGAGTAAGTCAAGTTGTACTTGCAGCTTTGAAGAAGTGGAAAGTCAAGATGCCACCCCCTGGAGAGGAGGATTTGTATGAGTTGGATGGAAAGGAAATTGAGGCAGCTACAACAGAGGGGAGTAAGAGGATCCTCCATTCTGAAGGATTTAGGTGAGATTGTGTTCAACTAATGGATTTAGTAAATATATTTATCATAATTTTTTTCTTAGCTAATTATAATTTACACCATCGAATATGTAAAAAAATCATATTTATCATGAATAAATATGACATTATCCAAACATTATGGTATTTTCTCAGATACATCTTTTATTAATAAATATTTTTTATGATGTTTTAAAAATATATTAACTTTGAATGAATGAATGAACTTTTGAAGGTTCTTAGATCGAGCTGCCCTCATCACCACTACCGACTTCACTCCCTCCGGCGACTCCACCACCCCCAATCCATGGAGGCTCTGCACAATCACCCAAGTCGAAGAAGTAAAATGCATTCTTCGCCTCCTCCCCATATGGCTCTGCACCATCCTCTACTCCGTTGTCTTCACTCAAATGGCTTCCCTCTTCGTTGAGCAAGGTGCAGCCATGAACACCACCATCGTTGCTGGATTTCGTATCCCTCCGGCGAGCATGTCTGCCTTCGACATCCTCAGCGTGGCCCTCTTCATTTTCTTCTACCGCCGCCTCCTCCAACCAATCGCTGCCGCCCTTCGCCACGACCCAAGGGGATTAACAGAGCTTCACAGAATGGGGGTCGGCCTCATCGTCGCTGTCGCTGCCATGATCGCTGCCGGTTTCGTCGAGCACTTCAGATTGAAATTGGCGCGTGGTGGCAATGCCAGCTCTCTCAGCATATTGTGGCAGGTAAGACACGAACTTGAACAAAAAAAGTTCTGTTTGTTCGGTAAATGAGCAAAATAAGATCAAAATTTGAACTCCAACGCGTTTTTGTTCGATTCAATAGTTTTCTAAACAGAACCATTGTGACAGGTACCGCAATATATGCTGATAGGAGCATCAGAGGTGTTCATGTACGTTGGGCAGCTGGAGTTCTTCAATGAACAGGCGCCGGAAGGACTCAAGAGCTTTGGAAGTGCCCTCTGTATGACCTCCATCTCTCTGGGAAACTATGTGAGCGATATTCTGGTAACTGTGGTAATGAAAATCACCGGAAAAGATGATAGCCCAGGGTGGATTCCGGTGAACCTGAACAGAGGACATATGGATAGGTTCTACTTCCTTCTGGCTACTTTAACTAGTGTTGATTTTGTGATTTATGTTATCTGTGCAAAGTGGTATAAGTGCATTAAGATAGAAGGAAAGTGCGAGGAAGAAGAAGAAGAAGAAGAAGATTTCAGTGATTAAGTTGAACTGCTACTCAGATAAAAGGTAAGGTGAGCATAGCTCACAAAACATATTTTTGCTTTGTATTACTCTGTATTGTTCTGTATTGATATTAGTTTAGTATCAATACATAACCGATACAGAGTGGGAGCAAGAACTAGCTCTGCAAAAGCAATCAATAATCTCTCTATTTCAACATGAAATGAGATTAAGGGGTTAGAAATAACTGTTTCTTGTTCATTGTTTCCTGCATAAGAATCCTGATGTATATTATTAGTTACTCTGTATTATTGCCAGCTTGATGATCTATGAATGAGGATGAGACATATCTTAGTACAGCAAATGAAAATTGTGTTAGCTATCATGTAAAGATGCAGCAGAAAAAAGACTACCACAGAGAGACTGACAAGCTTATAATGGGTTTGTGGTAAAAGAAATGTGAGATAAATAAAATGTCTACAGAACATACCTGAATCCTTTGTGCCTAACTTATCTCCATAGTGCATAATGACTCGCTCCATTCAAAATATATAATCAATATTTAATTAAGTCTAATTAATTAAATATTTAATGCTAATGATTTAAGTATATGATCTAATCATTAGATATGATCAGATTTATAAACCTCAATCAAAATTAGGGAAATACATAAGATATTATTTTAGTTGTTTTGGGAAGTTTAAAAATTAGCATAGTCATCTTTAAATTAATTTAATTTTCTTTACATAATTTTTTAGGTATATAAGATAAAAGAATTGATAGTATAGCATAGAATAAATTATCAAATCAATAATTAATCCATCATTAAGGCTTCGTGTGGGACAACTTTCTTACTGCTTCTTAATATAACTTTTTATTATAAAAATTAATTTTTTGTACTAAAAAGCTACTTTAAGAAGTTGTAATAAATCCATCCCAAATAAAGCCTAAAACTTTATTTGGGACGACTTTCTTTCTGTTTCTTAAAACAACTTCTTAGTACTAAAATTAAATTCTTTATATTAGGAAACTGCTTTAAGAAGCAATAAGAAAATCGTCCCCAACGAAACCTAAATGAGCATTTTATCAAATTCATAATAAATAAGCACATTCATGAACATAAATAAACAAACAAATCAATGTTCAATCTTACACATTTATATGATGAGCATTTTCAATTTTATTCAAACTTCCTAAATTATTTAATTAAATAAATATAAATGGGACTTATATGAACGAATATTAATTATTTTAATATGAGCTGCTAGTAACTTAAAAGGCCTCAAGTTAGATATCAACTTAATTATCATACAGGTTAGTATTAGACGATAGATATTCATCTCCTCTCTGTCAATTTCTATTCTATTTCTTTTTCTTTTCAGTACAGATTTTATGGTATAAAAGAAAGCCTCGAAGTGAATCATCCTAGTCTTCGAATTCCTTGATAAAATATCATAACAAGAAATATTTCTTGCAAAATTATGGTTGAAATCTTTGAAGCCATTGCAATTGGTAATCCAACATAAAATCCATAGATATTATAATCCTGCTCCTAAAATAACAATACAGCTAGCTAATAAAAGTATTGCAATAATCCTTTCCAATTTTCTGTTCTTTGCCTTCTTTATGAAATATCCATCTCATTGATATTTCCTAGAATGGCTCCTTCATACTTATGTCAATATAGAAATATACAGAAAGAGGCCATTTCAAAAAAGGTTAAAAGGCGGAGATTTATACAAAAGATAAAGAACATAAAAGAGGAAAGGATTATCAAAACCCTATGCGGTTGTATAAGAAGATTTGAGTAAAAGGCCGGGAAAGGGGAAATTTTAAGTCTCCGCGTTTGCAATCGATATATAAAGACAAACTAACCTGCGTGCAAGGAAAGAAAACATGGAAATGGAAGATGGTATTCAAAAAGGACAAATAGAAGGTTCGATCTATATAATAAAACAAGATCTGCATTCTTTCAATAAATTTTTCCTAATTCCCTTCCATATCTGAATTTAAATCAGCCCCCCTTTTCCTGGATAAATTTTCCTAATTCTCTACCAATTTTGATTTCCTACGGTAAGTAATTATAGGTTGAGTTATTCCCCTTTGGATCCCCCTCTTTCCTTGCCCCCCAAACATCCTAGTGCGTCCCACAGCCTCCGCAAATATAGTAGAGATTATAACAATGGGTACACAGTTTACAATGGCATACATAGAAAGTAATAAACAGCAATGAAGCAAGAAGAGTTGATGTTGACTCGTGCACATTTTCATAAATGTATTTCACACCATATCTACCAACTCACATTAAATGAGATAAGGGTTCATAGCAGAATCCGAATATTCAAATAGTATATATCGAAAATGGAAATGATGCCCCGATAGAAGTTTCACTGCTTCTTCATCTACAACTAAATAAATTTATTCATTTTTTAAAAACATATCAGCATCTGACATGTACTCATATGCAAGGTCACGCACCATGCCATATGCATGTATGTGTGTTGCAGTAGAAACCAAGGCTCGCAGTAATATAATTGTAGCTCAGGCATGGGCGGATCCACCTTAAGCCCTGGGGGAATTGCCACCTCCCGAAAAAATTATGAAAAAAAATAAATTATTACATGATTCTATAGGTAATTTGTCTCGCTTCATGTATTTTTCAGTCTTTATTACAAAGGTTTTTAGATGCTTCCTCCAGAAACCTCTGCAGGGGCACTGCCCCTTGACCCCGCGACTTGACCGGACAAGTCGAACCCCGCCAGGGGGTGCTGCCCCCTTGGACCCCCGACATATCTGCGAAGCATACAATGATGAAAAGATAGGGGTCGAGAGGCAGTACCCTTTGAACAAATTTTGGTTGTAAGTATATTTATGAAAAAAAAAACTTTACACTTTTACTTGTAAGTTTGCCGCCCCCCCCCCCCCCCCCCCCCCTTAAAATTAAGGTTGGATCCGCCCTTGAGCCCAGGTGCAGAAAACTTAACTTCCTACAATTTCAGCAAATAGAAACGTTTCTATTATGGGACACTGTTGATTTGTAAGACCTTTTATCTAACAAATAGCCATACACAATGCTTTCAATCCAAGAAAATGCATTCCAGTTTGCAAAATCCATCGTAAAAAATAGTTGTCAATGGGCAGCAACAAACAAGTTTATTTCTCACTGTAAAAACACAAAAGTAATTCTATTTTACATGAACATTGAACGGAATGGAACTAAGAGAAATTAAAAAAAAAAAAGGTTTATCAATTACATTTTAATTGAAAATTTAATCAAATAATAATGTCTAGCTGAGAGCAAAATTTTGAGAGAAAATTGCCTGAGGACTATGCCATCTTCAAACCTTCCGAAGTTGTATGTGATGTGTGGATTCCTCGCGCCATATAGTGTGTGTTCCACTCTGAACAAGTGTAACAAATTCTTCGTTCTTTAGAAATCCCTGATTCTGTTATAAGAAATACGACAATAGAATTAAAATAACAAAGAGAAAGACAGTTAAGGTTGCAACTAGTAGGCTGGAATTAAGCATAGCTTTATACCAATAAGCGGCTTGTTGCTCTGGAGAAAGTCTCTTCAGCATCATCAGAAAACTTCATATAAATAGGTAATACTCCATGATAAAGTGCCAACCTCTGCTTAATCCTTTTGCTGCAAACAAAATTCATTGTGATTTAACATCTTTAAATCATCTTCGATGACATATTGAAAGTGCAGTTCATAGTAGAGTAAAATTGGAAGAACTTACTCATTAGTAAAAGCAAAAATAGTTGATGATGGACGATAATGACTTAGAAGTATAGCCATGGACCCAGTTCTGGTGAAAACAATAATAGAAGTACCAAGAGTATTGCTCATTATAGCGGCATGTAATGCAAACATTGCACTCATATGGCTTTGAAAAAACTCCTCGCCATGGGAAACCTTCAAAAATCAAATGGGTTAAGGAAAAAAATTACAGAATGAAAGCACTTTAGATCATCTCAGCAACACTTCAAAATAACTTGATCATTTCAAATCAAGATAAAGATGTTTATAAGAAACCCAAAAGAATGACTTAGCCTCTATGTTCTCGGTAATCTGTACATACCAGGACCTCTGTAGCAAGACTTGGATGGGAAATACTAGTCAACTGTGATGATTCAGTTTTTAATGCCACGGTGTGCATTACAGTAACTGCTTTTATGGGATACCTACAACCAAAGTAGGGTATGTGCTTAGAAATATCAGGAAAACAAGGTAGAAGTGAACTTAATCTTTTATAGGATCAATGAAAATGCATCCCAAATAATTTTTCCGACAACATTAAAGCAACCATCTTTGCATTTGCTTGTTTCCATGACTATTAGCCTCTTTCTAGCTAGGGGTGTCAATATTTGACATGACCCGAAAATCCAACTCGAACCCGACCCGAAAATATCGGGTTAGGGTCAACCCAAACCCGAAACGGGTTGGGTTCGGGTTCAACAATTCAACCCGTTTAAAAAATCGGGTTGGGTTCGGGTTGACACTTAGACCCAAAAATGACCCAGAATTGACCTGTTTTTGACCCGAAAACCCGATTTTGACAAGGCAAACCGAGATTGACCTATTTTGACCCGAAAAGCAGAGATTGACCCATTTTTGGACCTAAAAACTAGCAGTTTTTTGTTGGCATCAGGTCAATCAGGTCGTGTCGGGTTGACCCAGACCCGAAGCGGGTCGGGTTCGGGTCTAGAAAATTGACCCGTTTGCAAAAACCGGTAAGGTTCGGGTTGACCCGAATAGTGTCAGGTCATTTTCGGGTTCGACTCAAACCCGACCCGTGACCCGAAATTGACACCCCTACTTCTAGCTCTCATAAATTTAGTTATCTAATAAAACATGGACACCTTGAGCACTGCAATATCAATTATTGATCAATGCAGTCATATTTCCTCCAGCAGTCTAGAATACGGTTAATAAAATTTCCCATCGTGCTCGTAAAGATAATTATCTAGAACTTTTTAAACAAAGCCACTTACTTCCCGTGGGCTGTTTCTCCAGAGAGCATTACGGCATCAGTGCCTTCACGCACAGCAATTGCTATATCAGATACTTCTGCTCTAGTTGGGGTTGGGTGATTAATCATGCTCTCCAACATATTGGTTGCGACAATAACAGGCTTTTGCATGCTGCGACATCTTCTAATGATCTCCTCCTGATAAATGATTAGAAAGGCCTTTATCAAGCAAAGGTAAGAAAAAGCATAAATGACAATTAATTTTCCTCTTCGAATAGAAGACAAACATTTATTTATGTAAAGGACGTAAGGATATGCCCTAAACTCTACTAAACAGAAAATTTTCATACATTAAGGAGGAAATTAGATATCAGATCTCTTTCAAGATAAAACCATGCTATCACTGTATCTGATCTTTTTAGAGCTATAAGTCTTTTGTGGATCAAAGAATCTGAAGGATCAATCTACAAGATCTACCGCACAAATATGATGAACGCACATTATTATCAACTACAAAATGCCTCCATTGGACGTTGCAGATTGAGAATTAGTTGAAGAGAAGAGTGGATTGCACAAGCTGTTTCAGTCTTAGTCACATAAAGAAGATATTTGCTGGTACACACTGGATGGAATCGATGCTTAGGTTGCATATCTCACTTATGATTGATGATTAATGTAATCCTTGCTAAAATTACTCCACAGTTTTATTTTTAACAAGGCCATTATACAACTTAACATTACATTTAAACTTCCCATTATAACCATCCATAGACTTACCATCAGTGAGGCTACCAAAAAGAAATACTCAACAAGAAGCATTTTATTGAAAATCAGGTACCGCATTAGGGATGCCTGCATAGATTATGGTGATTTTCCTTTTCCTGTAAGAATCACTTAAGCCATACTTCAGCTTTGTAAATATTGTATAAAGAAAGAGCATTTACACACTAATATCATTATGATGCCTGAACAAAATGTACAAATAAAACTAAGCTTTTTTTTTTTTTTTTTACATGAACAACAACAACAACAACATCAAGCCTTTTTTACATGAACGAATATTAAAAAAATAAACATGAAACGAAAAAGTTAATATGCAGCTCTCAATCGATAGTCCACCGAAATCATATCAAGTATACACTCCAAACGGTGTTGTCAAGGATATGAAAAAAGCTAAGATTTGTTGATCAACATATAATTCAGTAAATTGTGTATTTCAACTTGATAAGTAATTATCGATCCAAGAAAATATGTATTTTGGTATTTTGAGAACAAACATAACCTTCTTATTAAGAAAATGAACTCAACCAAACCATTCTCTAATCAAATCACAGAGCAAAATCATCAATGTCACAATCACATATGAATAAGATACATATTTTGATTTGGTGCTTTAATGCGTATCTCAAGACAGTTACCTGCAGCAGTGGAACTTCCTCTATTGGAAGCTCAGCTCCAAGGTCACCACGAGCCACCATGGCCTATAATTGTTTACATAAGCACCATCATAAAAAATCATATGGCAGAAAAATCTAAAAAAGAAAAAAAAAACATTTCTATTGTCTACAGAAGAAAGAAAAGTTTTGATGAACTGGCTACATCACAAAATAAATGGCTTAAGTATCTCTGTTCAAAAAGTGTCCAATTTAACAAAAGCTTATTTATAAGAAATGAAATTTATATATACAAGAAAGTGGTGCGAGTTAAATGTACTAGGAACAAATTTTTTTAAGAAGAAAAACAGGTCCTTTAGATGTATCTTATCCAACAGCCAAGTTCATTACTATGTCATATTCAAACATATGTTGATGAATTATTAACATTGAGTTCAAAAGTGGTAGAACAACATTAATGTTGTAAACAAAGCAAGGAAACTTAATAAAACCATCAAAAAAGTTCCGTACCCCATCAGACGCGGATAGAATAGACTCGAGGTTGGGTATTGAATCAGCACTTTCAATCTTAACAATTACATGGATATCTGCATTGCAACCTAAAATCCCAAAAGATGAATATAACAAACTAAAATAGAAAAGACAGTGAAGAATAAAAATATTTATTAAATAGAACTGAAAATTGACTAAAACCTTACTTTTGAGGTAATCTTTCAATTCACAAACAACTTTTGCATCTTTTACAAATGATAATGCATAGAAGTCAATTTTGTTGTCCACCCCAAATTTAATATCTTCCCAATCCTTTTCTGTCAGAGCACACATCAAACAGATAGTTAAGAAACTTTACAAGTAGCATATCAAAAGCAGGATTTAAATTCTCTAGTTGAAGATAACATGAACAACCTGTTATAGATGGCAAGGTAGCACTTTTCCCTCGAACATTCAAATGGCGTCTAGATTTAAGCTCTCCACCATCAATTACTTTGCATTTAACAACATCAACAGTTTTTTCCTTCACAGATAGTGTCATCATCCCACCTAAGAGTAACACAACAGCAATTGAATTATGATTCAAGAACATGTCTATCATAACATCAAAATATATTTATAGCTTAAAAATGTCATAATGATCGATGAAAAACATAACTTAATGGATAGACTAATAATAGAAGGGAAAAAAGGTCCAAATCATCTATATATAATAATCATGGTGATGGACCAGTCCCTCCTGGACCAACCATGGCTTACAGTAGGTAGAACTCCTGCCTGCATTAAAATCCAGCCCTTTTGGGGTGGGCTCCAAGGGGATAATTCAAAGGGAGATAGGGGCAGCTAAGAGGGAAAATTCAAATGAAGGGCCTTGTTGACCCAAAACCAAAAAAAAGCACGAAAAAAGGGAAAATTGGATGATTTAAGTGACGCATGTTGGCACGGCGCGTAACATGAAGGGGTCAAACAATCTCTGATTGCTAAACGGACTGCGTTGTTGCGATTGGAGCGTCGGATTTGCCCTAAACAAAGCCCCTCGCATTATATTTGAGCAGAATCAGTCAAAATTGGTGATTGACACCCGAAATTGATGCACGATATTGCCTAAATGGCGTATGATCACAAAACGGACATCGCCATTGCGTTCAGAATGTTGAAAATACCTAAAATTGACTATAATTTTGTCTAATAAAATTTGTATTAGGAAATTGACGCATTTTTCGAGGAATGCACGTATTTTGAGGCAACAACGCGTAAGTAGAGATTATGGTTATTTTGACTTTTGTTATTTAATGATAATAATGGCATTATTATTATTATTATCTAAAATAACAAATCAAAATTAAATTAACACAGCTCACCTTGATCTGTTGGTTGAGAGCCTATGCTTCCAACAAAGAGGTCTTGGGTTCGAGTCTTTGTGTATGCGTTGTGTGTGTGAGTTTGCCTTAAATGGCCTAAATGTCCCAAAAAAAAATTAAATTAAAAAATATATCAAAAATCAATCGATACCTCATATCTTGTCGAAGAAATCTCGGAAATCCCGTTGAACCCGCTGCCGCAACTGCTTTGCGTCTCCTCCTGAAATTTTTGCTCAAATTTCGTCTCTCATTTCGATCGAAGCTCTACTTAGTCGTTAAAACGAGAATGAAGCAAATGATTTTTGTTCATGTTCTTCCGTGCTCGAATGAAGGAATCCCAAACTCGAACGAGCTCTTAGACGAACTCTCCCTCAGCCCCTCCATCTCAACCTGCCGCAGACCATTCACTCTCGTCACATGCACCTATGCAAACCTCACGCCTCTTCTACCTCAAACCGCACTACCCTTCATGATGATGATATCAGCAGGAGATTTTGGTGCTCCTATCACTGGAAGAATTGTAGATCGACAGCTACGATTAGAAGTCTTTATTTATGATGCATTTTATGTATTTCCTTTATTTATATTTCAATTTTTACCATTATACCCCTGTGAGAGATTTCTTTTATGCTGTAGCCCTAGGGCATTTTTAATCTTTAAGTTTCTTTTATTTTGGAGGCCTTTATATTAAGGCCTTAGTCATTGTATTAGATTAATGATGATTGATGAATGAAATTTCAGCTTTTTGTTTTCATTGTGTTGAGAGCTCTTGAGAAAGGAGAAGACCCTTGGTGAGGGCAAAAGCAATACCCGTCAGAGTCGGAAGAGTCCGGGCTCACAGTCTACCTCCCCTTCCCTAGTACCACCACCGGCCCACTACCCTTTTCTCTCCCAACCGACGGTCCCTCCCCCCTTCTTCCCCAAACCACGATCACATCCCCCATCTCCACCCAAACCACCGACCAACTCCTCTCCATCACACTGCCAGCCTCCTTCCCCTCCTCCCCCACCGCCGGTCATAATTTCCCAAATCCTAAGCCGCCGGCTTAACCTATCCCAAGACCCTTGAGTCCAATTCAATTAATCCATTATTAACTACTTAATTTAGCCCCTATCTTATTTGGAAAGATTTCGTAATTCAAAATGAATTTGAATTTTAAAATCTTTTCTAAATAGCATACACCTATTTTAGGAAGTCAATCACCATAAATCTGAAGTTAATTCAGATTTGATTTTCCAATCAACAATTAATACAATGAGCTACATATGTTGAATGTGGACACGTTTCTCTCCCCTTCTCTTGCCCCCCCCCCCTCTACCCTTTTCTCTCTCCAGTTAAATCCCCCCTCTTAATTAAAGCCCATTAATCCCCATATAAGCTGCCGGCCCCTCACCCCCTCTCTCTCTCTCTTACCGTCGTCCCCTCCCCTCTCTCTCTTCTCCACTTAAATTATTTCTCAATTAAAACCCAATCCCCCCTCTTCATCATATCGGCCACCTCTAATCCATCCATCAATTAGAGAATTTTGAATTCAAATTCTCCCTCCTTCCCTCTCAAATTAATTCCAATATTAATTTCTACTCAATATTAATTAATCAAGGAATTAATTCCCTCATCTCCTCTTGACTCCTCTTACTACCTAAATCCCTAACCCAAGGCTCTCCAAGCCGGCCGACCTCTCCTCTCCATCAAATCGCCTGCCACTTTGGTCCGTCCCGGAATTGAAGAGACTTCTCTCCTCCAAGGATGGCCGATCCTGAGCATGACCACGGATTCATCTACGACCATCCAGGCTTAGTGGATGTTCTACATTCTCCCTTCTTTGAAGTTGACTTAAGAGATCGACGACACCGTAGAAGAATACATTGATCGGGTTCTCTTTTCCTTGACTACCGCCATCGAACAACGTCATTCCACCATCCAGTGGCAAATTACATAGCATCCACCAGCTTCCTCCTATTCGGGTAACTTCCTGTTGGTCCAAAACCTAAGTGTTTATTATCTTCTAGTGGGCAAATTATAAGGTGCGGACACCGGACGTAAGGTTGCATCCAGATTTGCTGAACTTTAGTTGCCCTTTTGTTGTCCTTTTGCAAATAATTGCATATTAGATGCCCTTTTGCTGAGCACTTGCAAAAATGCAGCAAAATCGCAGCTAAAGCGCAACAAATATCCTACTAATTGAGTATTTATTGCCTTTTGTTATGCTTTTGTAAATACTCAGCAAAAAGGCAGCTAATATGCAATTATTTGTAAAAACACAACAAAAGGGCATCTAAAGCGTAGCAAATCTAGATGCAACCTTACGCCTGGTGTCCGCACCTAATAATTTCCCCTTCTAGTGGCATCCGTATTATTGTTTAATTTGTTCTCCTGCTAAGCCTATGGTAAGAGTGTGAGTGAGGGAAACTCAGGTTGAAAGTTCTATTTGTTAATCAGTGGATTCTTATTATTTGCCCCTAAGTATTGAAAATTTTGTTTTATTTTATATTGGCCTTCTAATCTAGTTGTAACTGCATACCATTACACGATCTATAATTGAATAATCCTAGAATTTAACTTGGTGAAACATTGAGTTTAAAATTAGCAAGGCTTAATAACTTGTTATTAATTCCTAAGCAATTCTTGTTTCCATATATGTTTCACATCACTTCCTCTTCAGAGCCAAACCTCCTTCCTCAAGTCGTCCACGGTTCCAACCTCTACTCTTCCTCTCAATCCGACAACCACCAACCCACACCAGCAATCGATCTCAAATCCTACGCCTCCGATCCCAATCGCACGGCCTGTGGCACCTTCGGCCAAACCCACTCCAACATGCTACAGTCGTTAGATTGCCTCCACTTGTAGCCCAACTTTTGCACTTCTCTGTCGCTCAATTCCCTCTAGCCGACGCTTCATCAACCTTTTGCAAACCAACCTCACACTCGACCCGTCTTCCTCCATCCCAAACAGTCGAAGTACCCCCTGCTCCAACTTCCTGAGGCTTCCAATCAAGCAACTGTACCGACCCCAGCCTCGACTACCTCTGTTTTGTTTCTCAAAGTCACACGCCACTATGTTGATTGATCCGAACCCGTTACCCTATCCGATCTCAGCAACACAACTCCGCTACAACCCACACTTGCCTACAGCCCACATTAATTTTGTACATCCAAGCCCAATAGTAATCTCAATCAACCTAACCCAACCCACTGAAATCAGTCCGAGACACTCATATAGCCACTCAGTTTCCTCTCCCTCTACTATCATTATTAATTAATAATTAGTATTAATACTAACTATTATTATTATAAAAAAGAGGGAAAACCAGAAAACAAAAAAGAGAAGAAAAGAAAATTCAAAAAAAGAGAAAGAAAAGAGAGTTACTTTTTGTGCGCAATCATCACCGTCGACACCACCACCTCAACACTATCGTCGTCGACTGCCTACACTTGTGCATAAATGTACCTAAAACACAATACTCCATTCCCGCATTCAACGCTCACAGCGCGTCAAAGGACCACATATACAAGCTCTCGTAGGGTGGTGGGAGGAAGCCTAATCCAACACTTACAGCAAGGGACAACTCGCTTACAAGCAACAGGTGGAAGGCGCCTGATGCATCGTACAACATATTTACATACTAAAGTACACTCCCGCAACCTGAGTACTAAAGAAAATAATAATTTACATAAGAAGAAATGAAGCGTAGCGCCACGCCACCAGATCAGCAACACTCGCAAAAGTAGGCAAAAGGCGTCTACAGGCTTCTAAATAAAATGCTATGTGCACTTAAATGAAATCCATTCACATGGCAGATTAGTGCCAGGCATTTCAAAACACCCCCAAGCATGGGAATACGCACTAATGCATTCATATCGTGCATATACACATCACAAGATGTCAAATACATCATGCAAGCATATCATACAACATGTAAATGTGTTTGGACATTGGCAAAGAAAACTTGCAGTAAAGTATCAATCCAAAATGAGACAAAAATCATCTAGTTAGCAATTTGATCATTCAAACAACAAAAACAATTTGACTCAAAATATTGAAGATTCAAATTCAACATATAAGAATAGTACTTACCATCAACCAATATAATGTCTCCAACATCCACATCATTTATGAAGCCATCATAGTTTACGCTAACAGTATTCTCAGTGCTGACTCCTCTTTTGATGGTGAAATTGAACTCCTGGCCTTCCACAAGTAAAATGGGCTGGGGTACATCTCCACTTCTAACTTCAGGCCCCTATATTAATTTTTTAGCTTCAAACATCCATTCTGTAGCATTTTTTATCAAATTCATAACCAGTAGATATTATATTGTCAATCTTTTCTTAGGGTTACTAATTGATGACCTTCTTCTAATTTAAGATCTACTGGATGTTGCAAAGATGAGTAGATCAACTACACACAAACCTAAGTTATCTGAAGAAAAAAGAAATTGAAAGATTAAGATCTTGCAGATAGTGTTACCTTTGTATCTAACATTATTGCAATGACATTATCTTCGGACTGAGCATTATACTCTCTAACCAAATCAATAGTTTTCTGATGTGATTTATGATCTCCATGTGACATATTCAGCCGTGCAACATTCATTCCTTTTTGAGCAAGCTTCCATATCATTTCACGTGAACTTGTAGAAGGCCCTATTGTGCACACAATCTTTGTTTTTCTTCGAGAATTCGTAAACACCCCCATGTTGCTTGTTTTTTGCTCACCTAACTGAAGACAATGCAAGACATTCTTGTTTAACAGATCAAAGTTATAAATTTATAATGATGAGAAAATCAAACAGAAATCAAGGAAGACAACCATATTAACTTATGTGTGAGCTCTGATGCATGAAAATGGCTACAGTAAAAACAAGTCCCAAAACAAAGATAGGTGGCAGAAATAAGCAATACAACCCACCTAGCTTAGCATGAAACCTCATTTAGAAGAGTAAATCAAATCATTAAATACTTATTAGAGGATTAAATCAATAGGTTTTGATTCAAGAACTGCAAGTGAGATTAAATAGTTTTGTTCATAGATTGTCTTAATCAAAGTATGTAATGGAAAAAAATCACAGAACAAGCGAATCCCAGTAGATTTGTTCATGTCTCCAATTCTATTTTCTTGAAAATGTAAAATCTTTTTGAACCCAATCATCACATTATGCAACAAAGAAAGGAAAAAAATTGTCAAAGTTCCTAATAAGATATTTGACTTGCACTAATCCATAATCCAATGTATAAAAGATCATATGATACGAACAAGACACTGAAAACAGTAACAAAAACAACATAAGAAATGAGAAAAGTTGATTAATTTGAACTTATCTAAAACTCCACGAAATTGTGGGATAAGGTTTTAGGCAATTCGAGGATTTTTACAACTTCAAGAGATTGAGGGAGAAAAAGACCCACAAGTAAGGCCAAGTTCATTCATTCTTTTTGGGTGTCATAATATCTCAACAAGATGAGTGTTTATAATCTAAAATCTAACTAAAAGCCTATTAAACCACTTAATCGATCTAAAACATATAAGCTAACATGAATACTAATTGCTCATTGAAAAACACGCCTTACCATTTATTTATATCATCATACCAACCCCAAACTTCCTAAAATCAACCCGCCAAAGCGTTAAAAAAACTCACCACACTCGCCGGCCCATTGACAGATGCCGATACAGCCGTCCCCTCGCTCTTCTCCACCGCCCTCTCCGATCTAACCACCATGCCTCCCAGGAATGACAACGACGAGCGCGACCACCCTCTGCTCACAGCAACAGCGCGGCTTACATGTCGGGAAAAAGCTAGGCCGGCGTGATCCCCTCCACTCGGTATCGTTCCCGCCAGAATGCTACCAATCTCCGCTGAAGCAGCCATTATTAGATCAGAAAAAACTCACAGAGCATACGATGAAAGGCCGCAAGAACAGAAAAGGAAGAGTTTTTATAGAGGGAATTGATGGTGCTAATGGAGTAATGGTACGAGAATTCAGCATAGCGCTTTTTGCGGTTATGCCAACGCAGACCAGAAGAACTTGTGGACGGAGGAAGGACGACACGCAGAGAGAAGTCTGGAGTGATCTTCGATTTCGGCGTCCTTGTTATGGCGAATTCTGTGTTTGGCTAAGAAATATTTGGAGAATAAAAGAAACTATACAAATTGGTGTTTATTAATTATTTGGATTTGAAGATCAAAGATAAAGAAAATTATTATTTTTAATTGGGCATTTTAAGTAAAAATATATAATAAGATTTTAATTCCTGTCTTAAACGGGTAAAAAGTGAAGAGAAAGATATTCACTAAGAAGCTATTTCATTTGTTGAAAAATAAAACAAAATAAAATATTATATAAAAGGAATGAATTATATTTAAATTATTTAAAATTATTTGAATGGCTGTAAAATAAATACATATGATTAATTTTAATTTGACTCAAAGTAAAATAAACATGTATAAAATCCAACGATAGTGGTATGCGCTGGCCCAAAGGGCAATGACGGTAGTCGATTCCGACTGGTCAAGGTGGTGTTAGCAATAGTTGACAATTGACCCTCATTGCAGGGAACTTTTATTACGTCCGGTGTAAGGACATAGAGGAATGTCCGGTTGGAGGCAAAATCCCGCCAAAAAAACTCGGTATTTGCTTGGTACAACTAGGTATTATTTAATATTAACGAGGAATACCGCTCTTTGAAGACCAATACCGAGCTGTACCGAGAAATACTGAGTTGTACCGAGTTTTTCTAGGAAAAACTCGGTACAACTTTTGTATAACTCGGTATTTCTCGGTTTAGCTCGGTATAACTCGGTATTGGGTCTTCAAATGATGGTATTCCTCGTTATTGTTTGGTATTGCTCGGTATTTGCTCGGTACAACTCGTTTTTTGGCGGGATTTGGCCTCCGACCGGACGGAGGACGTAATAATTGTTCCATTGCAGGTGATCATGATTCAATTTAAATGAATAATTTATTTTTTAATTAATTGCTAATTATCTTAAAAACTATTATCAAAATGTTGAATTGGAATCATATCCACATTAAATTTATATTTTGACACTCTTCATTTGTACATAAGAAATAAAAGCTAATGAAATTAGTTCTCAATAATCATAAATCATACCACTTTATGTTATAATAAAAATTATTTTTGGTTGGTTAAATTTTTTTCTAAGATATTTCTATCAATAACTAACATAGCTATAGATTTAATTAGAACAAATTAATAAATTTCAGCATTACTAACCTCATCTTAGTGTGTAGACAGTTTAGAAGAGGGTGCTTGTCTAATGCATGTAAAGGAAATTTATCTCCCATGTTAAGTTGATTTGATTTCCCTCCAATCTCTTTATTAACAAACAAAATGTTATGTATATAAATTAGGAAAGAGAGACAAACTTGCAATCCAAATGTTTCACAACTACAACATTAATGAAAGACAAAAATTAGGCCAAAAAACAGATAAAAGATAAAGAGGAAGAGGAGTTCACTAATCAAAGCTAGCGGGCGAAGAATGAGCCTTTGAGAATCAAGGCTGGAAAAAATTTGTGGGGAGGGACAAAACATAATAGAGCGGATATAAGAACTCTAAAGGCTTGGAATAGGGGTAGAGATGAAGATGATGCCTATGGATGAATCATGACCTTTGGCCTCAAATAATCTTTTAGTTGAATAAAGCGTATTGACAAGATTAATCCAACAAGTCTAACCTAAGCTATTCTACCATCGTCAAGGCGCTTGAATGCTTAAGAATAGTATGACTGAGGGATTTCATACGGTTGTTTAATGGAGTTTTTGGATTTTAACTGTATTTATAAAGCATGTAACTCTCTAAAGTATAAAAAAACACAGCCACCCTCTGCATGAAAGGGAACTTGAATCTTGACTTGAAATTCAAATGAGATCAAAGGTTTGAAGAATCCAAAAGCTCTACCATAAGCACCATTGTCATACCGTCATTTGACAACCACCATCAAATCATCATCTTATTGCAACCATCAGACCATTGTCCAATCATCATGAACAGGCCCTCATTCAAAATTGATCGTTAAACCATTGTCAAACCATCACGATTAAAACATCGCCCAACTACCACCCTCGAACCACCACCTAATTATTACCATCGAACCTCCACAATAAAACCAATGTCACAAAATACGATTCTTCAAGCATCATCATTCAACTATAATTCTCTGACAACCATTGTCCAATAATGATCCTCCTCTGACCACGGTCCTCCTTTAACCACCATCACCGAAATATGATCCTCCAACAACCAACTCCCGACTATGACCCTCCCAAACCACCGTCACCGCTATCATAATAACTCATATTTTGACTTAGTCAAATATTTTTTTTAGGAGTCTTTATAAGTCAAATTTATAAATTATCTTCCTGATAATATGGATATTATTGCACTTTAATTATAATAACTTTTTTTTCTAATTTTAGGGGCAGTATAAAAAATTGACACATATCGGTACAAGTGAGATTTTTTGGAACGTTAGACATCTATTTTGCAAACTGATTTCAACAGATCATTATAGACATACTTAGCTAATTTATGAATATTTTTCTATAATTTTTTAATTCATGAATTTGAAGATATAAAAGGATTTAGATTAATTTTTTCACTTCAATCTAAACAATTAACATAACTATATTTATGGCCTTAAGATATTTTATTAAAAACTATCTAAAGTAACTTATCAGACTTATCAAATGCTAGTTTCCCCATTTCATTTAACATAGAATAGAGAATAGAATAGGTAATTTGAGAAAAAAATTAGAGAAGAGAAAAGAAAACTTAGGGTTTGGAAGTCATCAAGTAACTTTTGTCAGTCAGTCATGCTGTAAAAGTTGTTCATCTTGAGGTAGGCTACCATTACCTACCTTTGATTTCAATGATTTTGTATATTTTATATTTTATAAATTTTAATTTATTCAGAATGTACAAAAGTTACGATATCTTGATTTTTAACAAACTTTTACTGTATAACTTTTGGTATATGATAGATATCATTAATATGGGCATTTTAACTAGAATATATTGAATTTTTACTATGTATTTTTATATTTTGGGAGAAATATCATAATTTAGATAAATATAAAATTTTGAGAAATAATTGTTAAAATCTTTTTATATGCATTTATAACATGCATATTTGTTATAATATAGCTATAGTTGATAGTTGATACACATATCTGAAAAAGAACACACTTTATTTTTGTGAATTTTACTAATTTTGATTCATATCACATTTTACATGTAATAATATGATATAGTGAATTGAACAATTAGTGTAGTATCAGATATTTATTATGTTATATATATGTGAAATATTTGTATGTAAAAAAAGATTGGTCATAAATGATTGACTGATTCATGTTAGTTGGAAGCATGTTATCTTGTACGGGAGAGTGGGCTGATAGACTTTCCTCTAAAATAAGATTGATGGTGTAATACTAAATGAAATGAAAAGTAAAACATAAATAGACAAATTGATATGTCATGATATGTAGATAGACAAGAAGTGACGACTTCTGATATGAAAGCCATGAGATCTAAATGACTTATGATATGACCTATTCCTAAAAATGGGATTGGATACAGGAAAATCTCCATAGATAATTGAAAATCTCCATAGATAATTAGATATCTCTTCTTACTTATAGTTAGGGCTGCAAACGAACCGAGCCGAGCCGAGCATGTGAGTTTTCATGTTTGTGTTCATTTAATATCAGCTTGTTCAAGTTTGGTTCATGTTTGTTCGAGCTTTAGCATTTGTGTTCATGTTTGGTTCATTTAAATTAAGGAGTGTTCATGTTTGGTTTATGTTTGATTCATGTTCAGTTCATGTTCATTCGTTTAGTGTTTATCGAGCTTGTTCGCGAACATATTTAACGAATTTTTTTAACTATCAAATAAACACGTTCATGAACATATCTATGAACAAATACATTTATAGTAAAAGCAATTGTCTATGTAACAAAGGTAATAATTATTTATATTTATTAATTATATAGTCAAATATTAAATATTTTTATCGAGCTTATTCACGAGTTCAAAATCGAACATGAATCGATCTTTATTGAGCTTCTTATCGAGCTTAATATCGAGCTTGTTCATGAACTTCAAATGATGTTGTTCGCGAACATAAATGAGCCGAACGCATTAATGTTCAAGTTTGTTTATTTAAGAATCGAGTATTTAAAATATTGTTCAAGTTTGTTTGTTTAGTTAATTAAACAATCGCAAACGAGCTTTAATCGAACCGAACAACGAGTAGCTCGCCGACGTTTGGTTCGCTTGCAGCCCTACTTATAGTGCTTGCATATACATATGACAGACATATTTATGTCATAAATTACATAATTGATATGACATGATTTACATAAGATACAAGTTATGGCTGGCACAAGTACTTGATAAGACTGATTAAACTGATACATTGTTATTGATATATATGAATCACATAATTTACATAATTTACATAATATACATACATAGCATAGACAATGTATGGCAGACATATGAAAATAATAGGTATACTGATGTAATAAAATGTTATATAAATTATTTTGTAGCTGATGAGTATAGGATTGACAGAACTTACTAATGACTATTCACTTATTTAGTGATCACAACTCTTTAGATATACAGTTATAATGATGCTTATTGTTCATATAACATGTTATTATTCCATTGATTGTTATATATTTTTAAATTTATATGTTCATACTGATAGCGATTGAATGATTACATTGATACTATTCAACTTATCTTGAATTGATTTCAGTTATAGGTTATACTAATCTATTGAGCTTTTAGCTCACTATGTGATTTTACAAATTTTTAGGAAGGGATCAGGATCCAGGAGAGTGGGGCATATTAGGAATTCAGGTTTTATTTTGTTTATGTGTTTTCTCTAGTTATATTCTTTTATATTCAGGAACTTAGAAAGTTGAAATGAATGTAATGATTGATTTCTTGACTTCAGTACATGAATTTTAAGGAATAAATATAATTTTATATTTTGATGTATATGATTTTTAGTTGCTTCCACTAGATTGAATTATATTGATGAATTCATATAAGCTCTTGTTGGTTAATTAATATATAGATAGATAATTTTTCAAAATTATACCCTAAAGTTTTACAATTGTGGTCCTCCAACCACTGTCTTCTAACTATGATCCTCTAACCTATATCGCTCAAGTGCTATCCTTTGACCATCATCATTGACCTACAATACTCCAACCAACATTGCTTAATTATGGTCATCCTGACCACCATCGACCAATTATGATCATCCAATCATCGTCGTCCAACTACAATCCTATGACCTCAGTTGCCTTATTATAGTCATCTGACCATTGTTGCCCACCTACGATCTTCCAACCGCCATTACCTGACTATGTCAGTTGACCATTATTACCTGACAAGTGCCCTTCTGACCAATTTTGTTTGCTTACAAACCTTAGACAACCATCAACCAATCTTAATTCTCCGAACTTTGTCTCCCATCTAAGCTCCTTCGACCATCATCACATATATATGGTCCGCTAATTACAATCATGTGATTATAGTCTTGAGGCTATTATCACTCAACTATAATTTGTGAACTACCATTGACCAATTACAGTCCTTCAACCACAATTGTTCAACTACAATTCTACAACTACCATCGCTCAACTATGATCATCTGATCTTCGTTGTCCGACCATAGTCATCTTTCCATTATCACCATACTATATAACGGTCATTGACTTTAGCACTTGCCACTGGTAAAGTCAAAGCACACCATTGCTTATAAGGTTGAAACGTGTTATCAACACCAACTTAACTCCCCATATCAAAAACAAGATTTATGTTGAATTTCTTAACCTCTAATGCCTTATCCTCAAAAGAGACTTATCAAACAAATAATAAATAATCTCTTAAAGACAACTCACATGCTACAAAGCTCTTCCGACTTCCACTATGAAAAAAGTTTTACACATTATATATCTACTATATTGCATCAATACATTCTCCAAACACACTGAAGGGCATCATTTGTAACTCATGACTAACACTTGCGAAATCATTTGAAACATTTCCAAATTTTAATTTTAACCCTATGATAAAATTTATACAAAATTTCAATATCAAATCAATCGATGCATATAATGAATTTTTACAAACTAAGCTGACCTTTAATAAATGTGAGATCATTTACAATATAAAAACTTTATATGTAAACTTGATTAACTTATTCAAATTTTAAATTTATAAACTATATTAATTTATATAATATATATTTATATAATTCTTCAGTCATCCATCCATTTTATAGAATTGGGATTATTTACTTGCATTGCCATTGAGCCTCAGTACAACTCATTTTTTGGCGGGATTTGGCCTCCGACCGGATGTTCCTCTGCGTCCGATCGGAGGACGTAATAATTGTTCCTACCAATGACCACCACGTACCTTCGCCGCTGATTATCAAAATTTATAAAATCATTTAAAAAAAAGCAATTGCCTCAAATGAACCCTAAAATGCTCACCATTTTGAGATATGCTAATTTCTTATATTAAGCTTAGTTTTTTTTATAAAAACATCATTTTAATATAAAAGGTCATTTAAATCACCACATCATTTTATAAAACCTAAGTTTTTTTTTTTTCCCAGGAGTGTAGCATTTAAGCTAATTAAAAATAAATTCACACACAAACATCATATACGCAAGCTCTGAATCCAAAATCTCTAGATATGTAACATAAACTCTGAACCAATAGACCAAGATGATCTGCTTGGTAACTATGATATTTTGTTAACTTGGTGAATTATTGACTATAATAAATTGATCTCGAATGATTCCTACTGATTCAAATGAGCTCCTAATAGATACTTTCAAGTCGGCTCATTTTATTTTTTTAAAGTTTATCTTACAAGAAGGAGATTAGCAAAAGAAACTAAAATCATTAGAACTTAGGTGAAGATTTGGGAGAATGTAGTCCAAAGGCAATTATAAAAAAGAGAGCAATGAATCGATTTTCATTTGCATTTTTATTTATCTTCAAAAGGGTAGAATATCTCTTTAGTGGCATTATGAATAAGATTCATATGAGGGAGCAATAATTAGTATTAGAGTTTGCACAAATTATTGAATAATTTTTTGCATATGAGAAGTTCTACACTACCCAAAAAAAAAAAATTGTCCGAAACGAAGCATAAGATAACCCCATAAAGATCCCCTATTCCTTGTGATCTTTTTTTTTTTTTTTTTTCAGCTTTATGACAACATAGTTTAGTAGCTTACTATATTGCCATTGAGCACTTGTAATATAAAGATCTATTCCTTGCGATCTTTTTTATTTTTTTTCAGCTTTATGACAACATAGTTTAGTAGCTTACTATTTTCATAGCATTTAGTTCTATTAGGACTGGCATACATAGGAGCATCGGGTTAATCCAAATCCGAATTATTTAATAAACAAGTTAAAAAAGATGGATCCGAACCGAACCTACTTGCAAACTAAACCTGACATGATAACCCTTTATTAATTAAAATATATTTTTATTACCTTGCTCATCATAAATTTTATATGAATTGATAAAAAATGAAACGATTATACTAACAAATAAAAGAATTTAAGGAAAAAAAATAAACTGTTTTTTCGGGTCAAGATTGGATTGGAGTGTCAACCCTAACCTGACCCATCTAATAGATGGACAAAATACATGACTCGAACCTAACCTGTTTATTAAACAAGTCAATCCAAATAAGAATTTTTTGGATCAGGTCCGGTTCAAATTAGTGGGTTGAATCATTTATTAACGCCCGCTATAACCATGATCCAATTCAAAACCACCAATTGAATTTTTGACCAAAATATCAGGATAGGATTTAGTGTTCTTCACATATATGACCAAAATGTATAGAATATTGTTAAGGAAAGGTGATTCAAGAAACTGAGACCATTTTTGAAAAGCATTTCAAGTAGTATACTCTCCAGTTGGATGATTATATCTTAGTACTTACAAAGTTATGTGGGCAAGAGAAGAAAATTCAGAAGTTTTCAGCAGTGAAACACTGGAAAAAATAGAAGAAAACTTTCCATAGTTGATTCTGCTAACAACTAAACTTACATGGCCGCATTCCCATAACAAAATAAGCGATCACATCCTAATCGTAGGCCTCGCAGGGAGGAGATATTTGCCAATGCTGCATGAAAGACATTTGTTTAATTATGAGCTCAGAAACATGGAAAAATCTTCAATTATTCAGGGTTGTCTAGCATACCAAGCATTGTAAACATCATACAAACTAAGGCTTTGTTTGAGATGGCTTTCTAATTGCTTTGTAAAACTGCATTTTAGTACAAAAATCTATTGAAAGTAGGAAAAAAATAATGGACTAAAACTGTCCCAAACGAAATCTGAATGAGGCCACTAACTATAGCAGTTGGCTGAGATGATTCAAGAAAAGAAAAAAAGCACTATTGCTAGAGCTGTTAAAAAAGCTCATTTTTTGTGTCCAATCATGTTAAACTAGGCCTTATTCAATCATCTTCGCTCGATTATAACTTGATTATATATATATATATATATATTTGTATAGATAAATATACAAATGCATGATGATATAGTATTCTATGATTTATCCATATGATTTTTAAGTAGGTTTTATGTTCATGAGCAGGCCGTATTCGGCTCGATAAATTATGAAGCTGAAAAAACAAATTTTGGCTCCTTTGTCTACCAAGCCAAGCCGAACAACAATTGAGCCTACTCAAGCTCGACTTATTTACAGCCATACAGCCATACCTGCTGCTACAAAAAAAATTTCTACTGTCTCATTATAGTGGAAATAATTTAGTTAAAGATGCTGATACAATAAGCAAATTCTACAAAACTCTACAATTGTCCAATAGTATAAAATACCATAAGTAATTTAGCCAGAAATGCAGTTCACAACCAAAAATGTGCAAATCCAATTAGATGGAACAGTATGCTGGAAATATAGATACTTGCTTGATATGAACTAGGCAGCATGGATTGCAAGCAACACACATGAAAAGAAAGAACCCTATTACCTAACCAGAAATTATGAAGAAACTCCGTAAGGCAGAAGTGCTGCAGCCACCATTCTTCCTTCCTCATTTAATATATTATATGTAGAAGCTGCATTTCTCTGTCATTACAAATGAAAAAAACGCAATTGAATGAGTAAGGTTTCGTTTGGGATGGTTTTTTTATTGCTTCTTAAAGCAGTTTTTAGTATAAAAATTTAAATTTTTATACTAGAAAGCTGTTTTAAGAAGCAGTAAGAAAGTCATCTCAAACGAAGCCTAAAAGTCAAATGCAAAAAGCAAACCACGGCTGGAGGTGGCAGTTTTTTTATGACTGCAAAACTAGATCTAATGCTTTCTATAAGCGTATCAGGAAAAAAAAACATCAGAGATGAGAAAATACCGAGTCAATTGCTTCCAGTTTCATGCCTATGGATCGAATGAATTTTCGAAGCTCTGGATTTACAGGTTCAATATGTCTTCCACAGCCAAGAATAAGAACCTCTGGATAGAGATTTAAAGAATGTAAATTAAAAAAAAAAACAATTATTACTGTTTGCCAGAAGAAAGATAACCAATATTGCTAAGTCGAGCAAAGAACAAGGAAAGAAGGATCCTCAGATTAAGATAACAAGCAGAAACTTTACTTAAGGATAAAAGGTCAGAAATACCGGCATGTAGATGAAAGTGCAAAATGTCATGATAAACAAGAAGAGTATGGAACATTGCCTGACGTTCACAAATAGAACTCCCCATTCACACATCCCAACACCATAAGAAACATCAAGAAGCATATACATTGTCCATTTTATGTATTAGTCTCTTTCAAATTGTTCATACATATTAAATTATAGACAATAATTAATTGGTGAATACGTGTCGGCTACGGCTTGAGTTAAAGAATCTCACTTACCGTCAAGCCGAACAACACTTGAACCTATTTAAATACGACTCATTTCCAGCCATAGCTGCTGCCACAAAAAAATTTCAAGAGGAACCTCACTTACCATCTCATTATAGTGGAAATAATTTAGTTAAAGATACTGATACAATAAGCAAATTCTACAAAACTCTATTTACGAGGCATGATGTATGATATGTATTCACCAATTAATTATCCGACACGTATTCACATTTAGTTAAAGAATCTCACTTACCGTCTCAAATTAATTGGTGAATACGTATCGGATACTGATACAATAAGCAAATTATATTTATGTTTGAAGCGTTATTTTCCAAATGAGGAGGAGAGAAGAAGTGTCAATATTGAGCTTGCTAAATTTTTTGATTATTTAGAGGACTTTTGTAACTAAGAGTCATTGCGTGATAGGTGGAGAATTGATCCGAAAATGTGGTGGATTATACATGGAGCTTCGGCACCTCTACTTCAAATAATCGCCATAAAATTGCTTGGCCAAATTTTATCATCATCTTGTTGTGAAAGAAATTAGAGCACATACTCATTCATCCAATCAATGAAGAGAAATAAAATTACTCCACAACGGGCTGAAGATTTAGTTTTTGTGCATACAAACCTTCGGCTTCTCTCAAGGAGACAACAGGATGTGGGATGTTGCTGGTGATGGATTTGAATCTCTTAAGGATATGGGAATATTAGAAATTGCTAATCTTTCACTTGATGAGCCTAAATTGGAAGCTATGATATTTATTAAAGATGATATAGAAATTCAAAGACAAACCACTGAAGAAACTAATACTATCATTCCTTCTATTAAATAGTTGAAACTTCATGTGCTGGATAATTTATATTTTTGTTTTTGTTGTTACACAAGACATTTAAATATTTAATGCTTACTTTTCTTTTGATATTATATGATACAATGCTCCAAATGATGTTGCTTTCAATTTTTTTTGTCATTTCAAATATAATGCTTTGATTACTTTCTTAATTTTTATGTATGATTTATATATTATAATATCGTATCCGTGCCGTATCCGTATCCTGTATTTTGAAGAATTGACGTGTCCCATATCCGTATCGTGTTGTATATGTGTCATCGTATCCGTTTCGGTGCAACATAGTTCACCAACCATGCTTTAGGTTTCTCCCAAATAAAAAAAAACTTTTCTAAATCCCAAAATTGTACCCGATAGATAGCATCGACAACAATAATAACATCAACCCTTTATCCCACTATGTGGGTTCGGCTACATGAATTCTTTTTCTCTATTGTGCCCTGTTAAGAGTCAAATTCTCATTTAAATCTAATAAAATAAAGCCATTTATAATATTTTCTAACCAAGTTTTCTTAGGTCTACCTCTACCTTTCTTAACATAAGGAAAATATAATACATCTACTCTCCTAACTGGGTCATTAGAAGACCACCATTTTATGTGACCAAACCATCTAAGATGACTCTCTCTAATAATCTCATCTGCCACAAGAGCAACTCCAAGCTTTTCATGTATATGCTCGTTTCGTATCCAACCCTAAGAGTAAAGAAACTCATCCACCTAAGCATCCTCATTTTTGCAACACTTAACTTAATGTTATACTTCTCTTTTAATGGCCAACATTCTGCGCCATAAAGCACTGTAGGTCTCACCACCATCTTATAAAATTTTCCCTTAAGTTTGAGGAGAACTTTATTATCACACACAAGCCCGATGCATTCCTCCACTTTAACCATTCAACTTGAATTCTACTAATGATATCCCCATCTATTTCACCATCACTCTGTACAATAGACCCAAGATATCTAAAACATGTACTCTTATTAATGACTTGATCACCCAAAGTCACAATCCCTCCACAAGAACTATTATTACTGAAATTACACTCCATGTATTTAGTTTTAGATCTACTCAAATGAAAACCTTTAGACTCTAAAATTGACCTCCATAATTCAAGTATACCTTCAACTCCCTCTCTAGTTTTATCAACAAGAGAAATATCATTAGCAAAAAGTATACACCAGGTTACATCCTCTTGCAAAGGACATCCATGACTAAAGCAAAAAGATAGGGCTTAAGGACGATCCTTGATAGCATAAAACATTTAATTTACAAGAAGTAAAAACGGTCATAGAAAGGGCAAAATCCTGAACAACAAACAAGCTAGAGGAAAAAGCAACAATAGCGAACATTAAGATAATGACACTAAAAAGGAAAAAGATAATAAAAATAATTAAATACAAATCAAATACCTGGAACAGGCCTCAGGATCTTGAAAATGGATAAGCTGCACTATGTTCATAAAAATTGAGCATTAATGTTTTAATTCTACACATAAAGTAGATAACAACTATTTAATGCAAGAATATTAGTAGATGGGGCTAATTTTTATTTTTATTTTTAAATTATTGTCTAAGGATTCGTTTGGGTCAACTTTTTTACTGCTGCTATGGTAGGAAAAGTAGCCTGTAGAATCCAGTGTCTATTTGGATGCAAAATTGGTCTTTTTTTTCTGTTTGTCCAAAATATTTTTTAGAAAAATCACTTTTTGTGAAAGCATAATAGGAACTACAGCTGAGAAAGCAGCTTTCAAAAAATTATAATAGCATAAGAAGAAAAATATTTGCCGCCCCAAACGAAGCCTTAACCATTAAAGGTCAATCATGAAGCTTCATTCTAGATGAAGAGATCGTGATTCAGATAACCTTAAAAGAGCATGGAATACAAGTAGCTCATCTGCATACCTCTCTGCATTGATCTCTGAAAAAACTTTTGGTGCCCAGGACATGATTTTGTTCTCAACAATTAACAAGCTTCCCTCGTATTTAACCCCATTAATCGTGAACCCGGTCTCAGAATACCTAGATAAAGAATTTAACAATCAAGTTGCAGTGTCAGCTTCTGTTATTAGAAAGAAAAACCATTGTTATCACATAATTTGGAACTACAGCGGAACCAAAGTGTTCAACATTTTTTCCTCTTTAAATTAAGGAACAAGACAGATGAAAAGATCTTTTCAGATACAGAGTAATATAGGGATGCAAAGCCTAAAAAAAAGATACATAGTCATATAATTCTGCAAAATATCATAAACAAACTAAGGCAATTTTAACCTGCATCTTGAACTTCACTAATTACCAAAGTAAACGTTTCAACAAATCACACTCACTGCCTAAGAATTTATCACTTGAATACAATACAGCAATTTTAGAAGTAAACAATATGAGGAGAAGTAATATCATGTAATGTAGAACTTTTGGATTAATAAAATTTTTAGTTAAATCTTGAGTGTACTTGGTTGGATGTTGATTCATTCAAGTGTAATGCAAGCGTAACTAACAAATTCCGGAGTAAATCATCAGCTTATATCGGCATTATACCTGGAATTCCATGCTTGCTAATCTCTTACCTTTTCTGTTTTCAAATACAAAATTCAATATTAGTTTGCAAGTGTGATTCATTTTAATTAAAAGGATCAAAATAGATTTTCTTAATAATATTTTCTATTTATGATTTATTAAAAATATTAAGTTCATAGGGCTTACACCCAGCCTCATGATAAAACATCTCAACTTATGTCTCTAGACTCTCTACCATTTAAAACATTGCTAGAAGTACACTATGAGGCTTTCGAATATTTTATTGACATCTAAGAATGTTGCCCAACTTCAACTAACACCAAAAGCTTACTATCATAGAATATAGATACCAGCAAACCAAATATCTGACACCCTCACATAACGCCACATTGCATTGCAATGTTTGTGAGCTGAACAACCCTCAAAATTATTTATCTTTAAACGCCCTCCTCTAGTTGAATGGAAGATCCAATCAAAATGCGTTTTAAAGTCAATAAACGGGTACATATTACCGTACGAGATTTTTATACCACTTAATACTATTCTATTTACATATTTAACACTTAAAACTTTAATATTACATAAATACCATCCATAGTTCATTTTCATATCAAATATGAGTGGTAGAAATGAAATATATGAGTGGTATGAAAGAAATATAAGTGGTATATTTGATATTAAAATAATATAGGGTGGTATGCATGTAATATTAAAATTTTAGGTGTTAGATACGTAAATAGGATGTTATAAAGTGGTATGTATGTAAATTTCCCAAAAAAAAAAAGGATTCAAGTTTGTTGGCAACTCCACATAACAGAAGATTAAAGTTTGCCGGCAACTCTAGAAAGGGGAAGAGATTAGGGAGAAACTTACATCATTTATATTGCATTACAATGTCTCCAAATAGAGGACATTGAAGGATGTACAAGCACAATAATTTATTAAGTATCTAATAACCCTAATTGAACTCAAATGCTTATTGCATTTATGTAATTATTTGCCCGCTAAACTATTCCAAATTCGTAACACTTGCCCGCATAAAATGAGTAAAAACTAAAATCCTAACTTTCTAAAATGTAATTTTTATCTATAAACAACCAAATCGGCCGTAAACGGATCCTTAAATTTCCAAAATTTCCGAATGCTAAATAAAAAAACCCAAGGAAACACTAGCAAATAACAGTTAACATAGAAATGCACGCCTGGTGAGATCCAACAGCTTATCGTAAAGAGAAAGAGCATTGTGTGTGTGGGAGCAAAACATACTCTTTGAATCGGAGTTGATCTTCTGGTACGCTATCGATTATATTTATCTGGTCATATAGGGAAAACATGCGCCTGACAATCAAAAAAAAGAAAAAATCATAGGTAGGTAATTAGACTACCAAATTCTCCACTACATGGTCAATCACAACGATATGGGGTATGGAATAGGCAGGGAGAAGAAATCTAAAACCTGAGAGAAGGGAGAGTTTGATTTGCAGGATTTAGGGATTCCTTCCGAAGTGTTTTCACTATATACGGTAGCAAGGACGCTGCCCTCTGCCTCCCGACGCCGACCGCCATGATCGACTCGTCGTTAAGCTCCCGTACTCACCGGATTACTAGACAGAGCTGACGAATCGGCAGACGCCGGTTAAGGGTAGCCGGAATCGAAAATGCTGAATCGTTTAATTTGCGAATACTGCATCATCATTTTTCATTTATGCAATTTTTTTTAATTATATATACTATATATAATTTTTTTTTTTTTTACTTTTGGGGTCATTTGAGCTATTAATATTTTTTTTTTCAAAAGGTAATTCATTAAAAGATAAGAATATATCACAAGACTACAAAAGGCCACATATAGAGAATTACAATAAAATAAAAATAAAAAAAACAACAGACCAACACTAATCTGAACGAAAGAATAATCAACCCAAAACTAATAGGACTCAAACCGACACCTAGTTGCCAAAAAGGAGTTATCCAAAAAGTTCAAAGGGTAACAACCAAAATTTCAAGCCAACAATAAAACCAAATCACTAAATCTAAAGGAAAGAGCCACCAAGGTTGCCAACCAAGTCCTGCCATCCGAGGTATATGTAGTAAGACAGGTTCATCATAGTCCCATTCCAATACCCTTGTAGCAATCAACCAAAGACAAAAAAAATCAAATCACCACAGCCACAACCTTCCAAAAAGGAAAGTCATTTCTTTTTGGATTTTTGTTTTCTATGCTAAACATTGTTTTTGAACAAGCCAACATCCACAACTTGAAGAAGACTTAAATCAAAGTTGTCTCGAGCATCTAAATTGCTCTCAATAATTTTCTCCCCTCTTGCGGACGACATGTCATCGTGTGACCAATCGCATTGCCACACAACATTATCTCTAGCAAGATGGGTTAACAAATCAGCATTCAAAATAACATATATATATGCACATCCACCATAGGCACCACCACTCCGGCATCACCCATCTCAGCCAAGGTTTCACCATCCCCAGCAATTAAAGAGACAGAATTATCACCCAACATCTCTACAACATCAACACAAGTAAGACTAGCTATAAGATTAATACAATAATTATTATCATTCATGAACAGACGGACAGGAATCTCAGCAGGATTAACTTCACCCTCAAAGCCCAACAAATTGCCATTCCACCACTAACAATAGAAACCGGAGTGCCAATAGAACAAGCCACAGTAGCACAAATTGGAGCTGCTAGAGACACGATGGGGCTAGAAAGATTGGACACCAAATCTGTACCAACCAAACTAGAAGTAATCGCTACAGGACTCGCCATAAAGACAAGTAATAGATTAGCCATTAAGTACTCTCCACAACACAACCAACTTCAACACCAATAGAAGCAGAAGGAAGGGAAGCAGGTGAAACAGCCACACCACCCATGTTAACTCCATATTGATTCACAAGAGATAATTCAACAACAGACGGACCAACCACATCAGATACATGAAGAGTAGGAACACTATCAACCAAAACCCCACCACCCAATTGAAGGACATTCTCCTCACTAACCCCTAAAATAGGTATATGAAGACTCAACTTATAAGGAACATCAACCAGGTCATTATCAAATGAAGGGCAACAAAAATCAATTGAATGCCCTAAACGTTTACATTTGACACAGAAAGGAGGAAAATCCTCCATAAAAACTTGTTGAAAATACCCTAATTTCACCGGACTGAGCCAAATTTTGTCAGAGTATTTCTGGGTAACATCGATCTCCACCAGAACCCGGGCCACAGACGGGCGAGACCCCAAAGCCGTTGCATTATTTACTTTCAGAGGTCTACCAAAAAGAAGCCCCAAACCATGCAAGATACGAGGGGAGAAGAAATGAGGCCGCAAGTTAGGAAATGAAATCCAGATCGAGACAATGGGTGATTCGACACCAATATATTTGAGCTATTAAGATAAACTCATATATATCATAAATATAAGCCTCAAATCAAAAGGCCTCTTAATCTTCGTTTGGGACGACTTTTTATTGCTTTTTAAAATAAATTTTAGTAAAAAAAATTTCGTTTGGGATGGCTTTTTTATTGCTTCTTAAAATGGATATTTAGCACAATTTTTTTTTGTGCTAAAACTCCATTTTAAGAAGCAATAAAAAATTCTTCTCAAACGAAGCCTTAGATAGTAGCCAAAGCCCCCTACCAAAAGACTAAGGCTTCGTTTGGGACGGCTTTCTTACTGCTTTTTAAATATGCTTTCTAGTAAAAAAAAATTATTATTTGTACTAGAAAACCGTTTTAAGAATTAGGAAGAAAGTCATCCCAAACAAAACCTAAGATGTGTTACATTATATATAAAATAAATAAACGTTCATAAATGCAACAACAATCAATTTATAGTATTCAAAAATATAATAGTTCTTAAGTAATAGTCAATGCACATAAGAGGCTCTTATCTTCCTCTAAAAAAGTTGTTGATTATCCTCATTAGATAGAATGGATCTATATCATTAAAAGATCATGATCATTAGAGAGAGATCTAAGACTTTCAATGAAAATCAGTTGATTGTTCTTATTGGCGATTAGATCTAAGGATCGAGAGGTGTCTAAAATTTATAATCATTATGGTAAGTTTCTACTTGATGACTATAAGATGTATAATATACTAATTAATAATGTGATATTTAGCTACTCTATTGAAAGAAGTAGAACTATATTTCAAAATTCATGAAATGTCTCTATAATTTCATTAAAATTAGATATATACATAATATGAATTATTTTAAGATCACTTGCAAGAGTGGAACTAGCCTTTCTATTTAGGATGAGCAAAATAAAATTTGATAGTGTAAAATTTTAGGAGTGAAATAGAAAAAATATTCTTAGAATTTTGGACAAATATATTTATCAAAAGAAGAAAAATATTTAAGATGAAATTTGACTTTACATAGCCTATGATGCACAAAATTGGAGAAATATGACCACTAATTTGTTTCTTAAGAAATAAATCTAAAAAATTCTATTGCACCAAAATAATCCCACTCTAGACTGCAGACCACTTTTTAAAGAATGTCACAATAAAATTTGATTTGAATAATTTTCAATCATGGTTGCGAAAATATGAGATAAAAAATTTGACCCATAATTGAATATTATTCAAACCTTAATTGAATATAAATAGTTTTAGTAAAAAAAAAATTGAACAAGGTTCAAATAAGATTTGAATAAGACGTTGTTTAACAAACTTATAAAATAATTGCATTGCATGTTTAAACAAGAATCGCTCAATATTACAACATGGTCCGAGTTTATTCAACAATATAGTATTAAATAGCAAAATATAATCTCAACTATAAAATAATAAGATAAACATAACATATGATAAAATTTTAATAAGAAGTCTTATATTAAATTAAAATAGTTGCAGTATTTTATAATAATATGTTGAGTGCAATCATAACAGATAACACAACAGACAAAATCTTTGATATAATTGAAATAGTTCTATCACTACAAAGTGACCATATCTAACTACATATATATCATTGTAAAAAGTACTCTTGAAGATCAACATGATTGAATCCATTTTCATCAAGCAATAGTAGATATATTTTTTTATTTGTAATTACAATTAAAAATCACCAAGCTTTATATTGATCTTGAGCAGCCCATTTATTGAATGCAACATAACATGCATAGAAAGCATAATATTATTTGTTTGTTTCACATATTCAACACAATGATGTCATTAGTCTTAATTGGCATAAATTGGCTAACAATTTTCTCGAGTACACCCCTAGATCTATGCATGACCTGAGCATACTTCTACATGCATAACAAATTGCTTAAAGGAGAGAATTGCCAAAAAAAAAAAAGATGGATCAAATACAATAAATTCAAACTTTGCTTTAAGTTTCATCAAACATATGATCAAAACTCGATCAAGCTCGCTTCAAAATTTGTTTGAATATTATTCTAGCATCGATAAAAACTTTTAATATTTTTATTAATCATTTTGACACACGATCAAAGTTTCTTCTACAATTGTTCATTCTTAGTTTTGAAATGGAAGCTTTGAAGAATGTTTGATCTTGTACCAAACATCTTTCAATCAAGGTTAGAAAAAATTTTGAGTAATGTCTGCAGTTGATACTCCCATATCTAATATCTTTCTACATTTATGGTTCAAAATATAAATGTATAAAATTAAAGGAGATGAATATTATGCCAAACTTATAACATCACTAATCTCCAACGAAAATTGTTGGCTAGCTAGAGATGGAGACAAAAACTTTGTATTGAAAGTTTGTCTCAAAACCATCACTTGTAAACAAGAATCATTAGAGAAGAAGAAGGCACTCGAAGTAGAAGGTATTAATCAATTTCTAGGGCAAACGGTTGCTTATCCAAACTAAAACATCTCTTTAAATTTCAAGGGTATTTTGATTTGAATTTAATTTTTTAGTGATTATTATCCCAAGAAACAAAACAGCAATCATATTTCTTCAATTTTAATCATTATGGGTCATGTAATGTAAAGTGTATATATAATCTAATAGAAAAGACAACAAGGATAATAATAGGATCTAGCTGCTAGGAGTTTTGGATGTTTTTTGAGTCCTTTAATATATATTTGCTTTGTTTTTGTAGAGTTCTGCTTTTCTCAAGACATGTGATATATATATAGACAAATTAAGTTTTACGTTTCCAACATTAGTTAACACATATGCATTAGTCAAACATAAATTATACTCAAGTAATACATAATAGTTCATAAGAACACCTACATGTGCATAACATATAGTATTGCAACACTAATAATGGTAAACTCTTTGTCTGAAATTGTTATATATTTTAATAATTCATGAAACATTCATAACGAGTTCTTTCCTCCAAGCTTCTAAAATATCAATTTCATTCCTCTCTCACACATTTTCCTCATTGCTAACCACCTCCTCTCTCTAACCATCCAAGTTATCAAGATATTGTTCATAATATAAGAACCCAATCCCCACATAGCCATCAAGAAACTCATTACCTTAATTCTATCCACCTCCTCATAAAAGAAAATCAATCCAAGCATGAGCATCAAAGGTATAGTCAAAGTACTTACAACATTAGAAAAAAAAGAGAAGAAACCTATGATATCAACCCTAACAACCTTACATTTGAAGTTTGTCTTTCAATAGATATCAATACTAAAGACATCACATAACCCACCCTC